CAACCTCTTGTCGGATACCGGTACCTGGTACCGGTACAGTAGCGGTACACCGTGAGGGACGGAACGGCATGGTGGAAAGGACGTCTGTACAGCAAAAGCCAGGAGAGCTGTATCAAATCAAAGCGGTCACGGAAGCAAACAGCTGCATCCTGGACCCGCCACATCTCCGTCCATTGTTTGTCAGTACCTTGTTACTCTCGTTATTGGCTTCTTCGGTTCGTCTCACAGCCACAGACAAAGTAAACGATGAGTTTCGGAGGCGGCAATGGAGGTTACCAGGGCGGAAGGACTCGAATGGTAAGCTCGCGTTGTGAATTAAGCTTGAAACTTGCTGTATTTGTCGAGAGCTCAGGAGTCGATCCTCACACTACCGGTAGGATGAAAGAGCTTCTTGAGAGCTCAGCATGCAGTCGATCCTCACACTAGCCGTTTTCCCTTTTCCACAAACAGGGCACCAAAGTCTACTTGAATCTGTACGATTTATCACCTGCTAATGACTATCTGTACCCGGTAGGACTTGGCGTGCATCATTCTGGAGTAGAAGTGTTGGGTTCAGAGTATTCTTTTGCATCGAATGCTGGGTGTTCGAATCCACCCCCAAAGAAGCTCCAGGGGCCAAGTGGAGAGACCAGGTTTTTATGGGCGTCTTTGAAGGAGGTCAAATGGAGCTGAAAAAGGCTGTGGATGATTTGCGAGACGCCTTTGGTCCCAATGACTACTCGTTAATCAAAAAGAATTGCAATCATTTCGCCAGCGCCTTGGTATATCGGCTGTTGGGCAAAAATGCGGTGCCGGGTTACGTCAATCGCATTGCCGATGTCGGTGCTTGTTGTGCTTGTTTGCTGCCGCGACAAATGCTCGAGAATGCTCCTGTGGGCGATCCTAACGCAGCCAACAATAATGGTGGATTTGGAGGCAACTCGGGAATCATTGCTCGAGGACCGTCAGCCCCACAGTCCAATTCCATGAGAGCCTTTTCCGGAGCCGGGGCGAAATTGGGCGGTGGTCCCACGGCAAACACTGCCGAATCGGGAGGACTCATGGGATCTCTACTTAGCAGTAATGGTGCTACCAGCAGCAACAACAGTAAAGCGACAGATGACTTGACGGATCGACGAGAAAAAGCAAGGAAGGCAGCATTGGCCAGATTGGAAAAACAACAACAGCAATCCATCAGCAATGAATCCAAAGACAAATAATAAATGAACCACAATCAACCCAAAGATATCACCCCCAAAATATCTACTCAAAAGTTGAAGACAAGCGCAATCAGCATCTCATGGCAGATCACTTTCCATTGTGTTTCTGAACACGTTTTAACCGGGGATCATAGCTCCACTTCCTCTGCCACATGCTTTCGGATCGATTCATTTGTCCTAGTTTGTTTTTTCTGGAGAATTGTGCCGGAGTGTAACTTCGTCAGCACAGACGCTCGTCACAAGCATGCGTACAAGTAGTCGAGGCAACTGCGCAGCAGATGAAGTTTCTGAGGGTTGGGGAGAAAGGCTCAATGGCTTGCATTTCAGGCCACAGCGGATGTCTGACAGTGAAGCCATCATCTGCCAAAGAGCCCAAATCTAACGAGGCTGCAGAGAGTCGAGTCATACCGGTACGGTGAAACATCTTTGGCACGATGGCATTTGTAAAAAAGTCATAGCCAAACAATCGTTCTGAGCCCAATGGCCCAATGGCCAACTGCTCAGATGCTGAATTGTGCGCTTGCAAATCGATTGCAGAATCAGAAGCAAAACGACTAAACTCAAGTTTTCAATGGATAACTCCCACGAGGAACAGCAATGACAGCACATCAAGCTACAAGGATACGGTACAGTCGTAGCATGATGAGCTCAGGATGGAGGACAGGGCCCTGCACCTTTGGCCCAGCCAGAAAAAAGTCTGGCCAGGCAGAAGAGGGTCCAGTACGAACGTTGGTGGAACAAAACTAAAGGTGTCTTAGAAGGATATCAGAATTTTGAATGAATGTCTGCTACACTGTTGTCGCGTGGCTTGTTGGATTGAGAGAAGTATGATACTCAAATAGCAATCCCTTCGGAATTCAAGGAAACTCGAGAGCTTTTGTCATCACTCCAGCCCTACGCTCTGCAGCATCCGGAAGCTTCTCAATAGCTCTTCTGGTTTAAGATGTGCATCGCCGACGCGCGGGAGAGACCAAATTTTGTTGAACAACGGCCATCATCCCGCCCTCACCATGATGCCAAGGACAGTGAAGGACCACCGTATCACAGAACTCGCTTTATTGTCGGCGTCCACCTCAGTATCTTGGTTGCTAACTTTCATCTTGGTCCTTACTTGGCTATCGCAAGGAAATAGAATGGGAGCCCATCTGCTGCACAGATATGAGTGGTTTGCCGCGTTTCTTCTCTTTCTCCTTGCGTTCACATGCCGCCTCGAACAAGTTGTGAAAAGTGAGAGACGGAGAACCAGAAGTGACGATGAGCTCTACAAGAATGCTCATCAAGTGGAACTGGTTAAGGAGTGGGTAACATCACAGTATTGCAAGACCGACTTGGAAATTCTCTGCCCGGTTGCGCTCACCACCAATCTTTGCTATGGCGCTTTCGATCCACCTCTGCGGTTTGTGCTAGATCAACCAGCAGACTGGGCGCCATCAAGCTGCTCCTTGAAAGATTTGCTATTGCATGTCAAATGGGATGAACAAGAAAGCATTAATGAACTGGAAGACAGGGAGCAGTTGACATATTTTATCGCGCATGTGCTCAATCAAATTCGAACGAAGTCCGCCAAGTACTTTCGAGGAGAAGATCGCAACATTCAAGAGTTCGAACAAAGCAAGCTGATAGAAAATGTCTTGACATCCATCGTGCACATGTTTTCATCGCCTACACGAGTTGACAAGGAAGGAAAGACCGAGTCCACAAAAGCCGTTGACTTTGACATGACAGGTCGTGTATGGTCACGAGATGAAGTTATTTCATCAATGCACGAAGCATGCTTGTGGCACACTCATCACAAACGCCATGGGTCATCTTCCGTGGCTGGAGCAGCTTTGCGGCTAAGCCGGCAGCAACCAAGTTTTGTCTTCAAGTTTCTGCCTCTTGTCAAAGAACAGATTCAAAGCTTGGAGGATGACCCAGCTGCTGAAGCTAGATTCCATATGCTATACCCATCCACATTGTTTGGCTCTGAATCTTTCTCGTTGGCACAGCAAGATGACAACCCGCGTTCTGACGCTTGCTTATGGTCACATTTTGACCAAAGGACTCTGATATCCCAAGATTGTGCAACGGCTCTTGAGACTGCCCCGGGAAAGATTCGAGATCTAGATTGGGAAGGAACATACTCGCTGCTATTGATTCACATCTACACCTTCTTTACTGTTTCATTTGTGCTTTGGTCTTGGTCTCGTCTTCGACGACAACAACGCGACAAAATGGTACTCAAGCGACGCAGGAGTGATCTCATTGAAATTACTCCTTCCGGGGTCGAAGTGCTGAGTGCAGGCACTGGAGACTATACTTCTACCACGTACGGTGACACCCGAATCGAGCACATTCGCAAAACCAAGAGGCTGCTGCTGGTGTATCTCCTTGTGAGTTGCCTTGCGGCGTTTGCAATCTCAGCCGCCTCGGAAACCATACAGTTTGCAGATTTCTTGGATGGAATCTGTGTTTTGTTGCTGGGCTTGGTATCGCTCAGCTTTGCACCATTAGTAGCTCAGTCACCCCCAAACTACGTCTGTTCGGATGTTGACAAGAGACAGCGAATTGGACTCTACAAGAAGCAGGCATCCCTCGACATTGCCTGAAGGTGCCCACATGAATTCCGGGTGTGCAATACGGTACATGTACCTAAGATGCCGCGATGAAATTCGGTCGCGCACTGTTCTCAGCAGCAGAACCTACCGGTACCTTTAGTGCTGGCTAGATGGCAGCAATTGCAGGCCATATGTACAGTACCGTACCTACAGAGCAATCTGAATGTGGCATGTAGATAGGCTAATTGAATCTCCCACGCTTGAAACCATAGCTTACATACACTTTTACATTTGCAAATCGAAGACTCCATCTAGCCAGCCACATTGCACCCATCTTACCAGTACTAGCTACGGTACCAGTAGTGACACGATACAAAGAGCCAGCAGCAAAAGTATGCAGACCGTACACGTATTTCGATCGGCACGGTAGCTGTGTTACTGTTGCATTCATCAATAATTTATCGCTTAGCTCTCTTCTTGACGGGCTCTTTCTGGTCTTCTTCTTGTGTCCCATCTCCTTCCTTGATTTGACTCAACTTTTCTCCCACTCCCATTACCATGACTGAAGCAAAGCAAACGTCTTCCTTCTCCTTGAGGAAATCTTGCTTGACACTACTCTTTTCACAACGTGATGCCAACTCCGCCATGAGCAGGACAGCATCTTGCAATTGGTCACGTGCTTGATGGTAGTATCCTTCTGCAAAGGATGTTCGTTCCGCTGCCTTGACCAAGAGTGCCTTGGCTTCCGTGGTCACCACATCTACATCCGGTGGACAATCCAAGAGTTCCGTGGCCACCAAGACGGCAGCTTCTACCGCACAGCGTCGCTCTTTCAATTCTTGCAAACACCATGAAATGTTTTTGCGATCGCCGTCGGCGAATGCCTTGAGATTTTCTTCTCGCAGTGCCAAACCCCTGGTGTAAGCATCGGCGGCATCGGCATGTCGTTCCATAAAGGAGAGTAAATCGCCCAAATTGGAGAGAACACGAGGCAATTCGTGTCTCTTTGCCCACGGAAGATAGATTTGATTGGGTGCCGTGGGTTGTGTGGCTGTTTGGACAAATGTGTCAAGAATGGCATAGGCGGTTTCCATCACTTCCAGAGCCAAATTGACATCATCGTCATCTTGTTCCTCGTTTTCCTTGTCGCTGTCAGCTGCTTCCTCTTCTCCTTCTTGATTTTCAGCAGCCTCATCAGCTTCTTGTTTCACATCACTTTCTTCAACTTCTTGTTCCTCTTCTTTTACGCTCTCTTTCTCTGTGGTTTTCTCTGTTTCTTGTCCATTGTCTTCTTGCGAATTGTCATTTTCATTTTCCTTCTTGACGGCTGCTGGCTTCTTGTCGTGGTCCTCCTCATCATCTTCTTCTTCCTCCCCTTCCCCTTCTTCTTCCTCATTTTCTTCCGGCTGCTGTCTCGATGCTTCACGAAACAAGGCTTTGCCATACTCAAAATAGGCGGGTGCGGTTTCAATGGAGACTTCTCCGTATTTTGTGCGTGCTTCTTCCAGCAACAAACCAAAGACATCAATGGCTCCGTCGCGACCACTTTCAATCATTTTGCAACCGGCACGAAAGCGAGGATCTTGCGTGATTTTGGGCTTGACAATTTGAAATGGCATAGCATCATTGTTGCTCTGCTTCTGGGATGCCATCGTGGACACCAAATAATAGAATTTCGAACAGGGGTTTGTTTCTCGCTCGCCCCTTGGGGCTTGAGGTCCCTTTGTTTGATTGGGGGAATTGATCAAATGTGCGTGATGTAAAAAAGAAAGTGACTCAGTCGAGTCACTCATGATCAGTCATCTAACTTTAGCTTTGGAGTGTCATGTCAGTCACCCGCTTAGCTAGACCTTCTTTTTTTTTAAAGAAGGTCTACGGACTGGCCCTCCGGTGCAGATTCATTTGACATTTCCAAGACTCGATTTGACGGTTAATTTTCAGTTTCGAAAAAAGGAAGCCTTAAATGGTCATTTCACGGAAGTCTATTAAGAATGACTGGTTCACAAAAAAAAAGATTGAAGAAATAAAAATGAATTTTATCACCATGGTAACAGAGTTGACCAAATGGCTATTAGCTTTACCAATACAATGAGATAGCTAATGCTTTCAAAGGAGTAGCTCCCCAACACACTCACACACACTCCCCTTCAAAAGCATTAGCTATCTCCAAAGTCTCCTGTGGAGCCTACATGAAAAAAACTGACTGGATTCCATTTATTCTGCCATGCATTTCTCCATGGGAAAGGTACTCCTGTCCTCACTCTCAGCACTCAATCTACACTGTAGAGTCACGTACTTGGATGGGTGGCTTTGCATGAAGACTGGAGCACCCATCCCAAAGATTCAAAGGAGATTTGTTGGCTTGATGTCAAACAAACAAAAATGAGCACAATTCATGTTGGTTGTCAGTCAATCAAAGCAGTAGTAGAGAAGCTGCCGCTTGTTCCTTTTGTAGTAGCAGCGTCATAGGCTCACGGGCAGCCGCGGAAGAGGAATCGAATCGATCCTCATGGTCGCTCCGTGAAAGAGGCTCTGTGGAAGAAGACAGAATCGAATTGATCCGCCGCACCGAAGAAACTTGTTGCCAATGCCATTGACGAGGCGTCGCTTGTCGTTCTAGTATTAGTCTCTTGTTGTTGCATTAGCAGCAGAGGCGTCGTCGTTCCGTAGAAGAGGAGGCGTCATGGTCGCTTTGATTGATTGCTCCGTGGAAGAGAAAAAAGAAGTCATCGACCGACCGATCAGTCGGCGGATCGATCGATCGATCGATCAAACAGTTGCCATTGCCTGCTGCTTGCATCTTAGCCAACAAGAGCACTTTTCGTGGTGGTGAGTAGTAGCCTTTGTGCGTTAAGAGAAGTAGCCGCTGTATGGAGGCGGTAGTAACATCATCTTGATAGAGTCAAAGATTAGATCGAAATAATGAAAAAGAGGAGCGAGTGGCTGGGAGCCAGGGATGTAATCCTCTAAGTCTTTTCAGAGTACGTTAACGCTTTTAGTCCTGATGTCGTAGTTCGCATTGGACGAATGTCCTAGCGGGACCGTGCTTGCATTTGTGTGAATAGCTTCGATACAGCCTGTAAGCAAAAATCTGAAAGCGTCGACAACTCCGACTTCTATGTACCGGCGGGCGATCAATATTACAGAAAATTCGTGACTTTGTGGGAGGGACAACGATATCAGGACTTAAAGGTACATGTAGACCCCCAATGCTACAATCCTCATTAAATCTACAACTGCTGAGTTGGCCACCGGTACCGTACCGGTACCAGGTTTGTCCTGGCTTCCCGCCGACGCCAGAACATAGAAAAGACGAATCGAGATGTCTGAAAGTCAACATCTCCGACAATCTTAAAGTAGGAGTCAGCGGAGCAAAGTAATGAAGCTCTTAATAAGACCATGCTTTCAAAGAGCCCTTTAAATCCCGCTTCAAAGAACTTTGTCCCAGATGCAGATTATTATTTGCCTTTAGTGCTATAGCGGTCGGGTGTACCTACTAGCTTGCTAGTAACAAAGTTTTCGCTCACAGGCATTCAATGCAGAAGACTACAGAGAAAGGAAAAGAAGAAATCTGCAGGCTGCAGGCTGCAAAATTTTTAGGATGATTATCAAAAGGAAGCATTTGGTCTTTGGGGGTACCTTCTTCTTGCTGTTCTGTAAAGCAACATGGCTCCCCTCGTTAAAACGTGAGAAGCTTGGACCAAGACTGGCCAGGCAAGCCTCAAAGGAGAGTGTCGTTGTGGCACAATCCGATCCATTCCACTACAACATTTGCAATGACTTGTCCAATCAAATGCTCATTCATGCCTCTGCCATTGCCAAGGCGATTCAAGAGAAACATGATACTGTACAGGTTCTAGACTACTTTATTATAAATGGCGAGCAAACAACGGATGATCCTGTCGTGCCCTCCAACGAAAACTCGGTCCCATTGGCTGTCGCCTTTGATGTACTGGCCTTGCGCAAATGCCTTCTAGAGCTGGGGATTCAAATGGAGTTGGTAAGATGGAATCAAGAGACAAATAATTCAACCAGGACAAACTACTATCAAAATGCAACCGAACCAGAGTGCCCTGGCTTGACATGGCTGTCCATCGCAGATCCTCACTTGGTGCGGAAACTTCTCAAAGCTTTTCAACCATCCTCCACTCTCCAAACTCATATTGAGAAGGTCATGGAGCCTCTTCCGAAGCAGCAAAAGGGCATTTGCTTTCATCATCGTGATGGAATGGACTGGCATGACCACTGTCAGCGATGGAGTGCACATTCAAAAAACGATGGCATTTATTGTGGTAATTGTGAAGCCGACAACAAAAAGCACAGTCTCCTGAAACTACTACAAAATCGAGCCCTCACGTCCACGGATCGATGGATCTACTATTGTGGAGATCACAAGGTACCAGGCGAATTGCAAAACCAAAGCCAATATACCATTGTCACCAAGAGCCAGTTTCTCTCGGATAAGGACCAACGAGCTGTACATGCACTCAAGCCTGGTTCTTCGTGCACTACGCTAAAAGCTAGTGTAAAGATCTTTCGAGTGTTTTGAGTTTGAGAGAATGAAAGTTATGAGAGGATTAGAAAGCTATGAAAACTAATCAACGAGAGAGAGCCACAATCAAAGGAAGCTAGAGAGGAAGTCATAACAATGGCACTGTACGGCTCGCACAATCTAACCGCCAGTAGCGGCACAGTCTACCAGACTTTGGAACAATAGGTATATACACCCATACAATGGCACTGATCCCCTTGTAGCGATTCCATCGTGCGACGCAACATGTTCTACATCCAATCTCCAAGGAGAGTGCCCCGATTTTTAATTCATATGTTCTCTTGTTCGACTGATGTCGTGTCTTCCTGTGACCCTTGTCAGGGGGCGAATGCAATACACGGCTCTTAGCCTTATTCGCGACGCAGATCCTAGAATGGGTTTGAGTTGCGACTCATGACTGAGTCTCTCGTGAATATTCATTGAGACAGGGTTCTCAATGACCGCTCTAGTCATACTAGGTTGATGATGAACATCCTCTAGATATTTAGCCAGCGTGGAGTACTTCCACGCTACTAGATAAATTGCTAGACGAATCTTCCACGCGTTCCGTTTTTGGATCGTGAGATAGTAGGATTGCTACCGCAACCTACTCTTCACACTCTACAGTCTCCGCGGGAGTTCAGATCTACTGCACTACGCTATATGAA